GGGAACAACACACACCAGGTCCTGTTGAGGGATGGGGGCCATGGGAAGGGAACTTAGAAGACAGGCCAGTAGGTACAACAAACCACTATGGCACACATATGCCTATGTAACAAACCTGCACATTCTGTACAGGTATCCCAGAACTTAAAGTAAAATTTTAAATAGATTAAAACAAATAAAATTCAGTTTCTAATTCACTGGGTCTGGGCTGGGGCCTGGGAATTTGAATTTCTATCAGGCTCCTATGTGATGCTCTTGCTGCTAGTCCATGGACTACACTTTGAGGAGCAGATACCTCTTAGATATCAGAGGTCTCAAATGAGCTATTGACAGAAGTGTGAGGAAAGATAATTTTGAGTCCTCCATGACTCAGACCAAAGGCATTTCTTTATATCTTGGAGTTTTTTTTACTTGTTTTCCATTTAGCCCTCCTCTTCATCATTAGTATTATTATATTGTTTTACATTGAGCCTGTAATCCCAGCACTTTGGGAGGCCGAGGCGGGTGGATCACGAGGTCAAGAGATCAAGACCATCCTGGTCAACATGGTGAAACCCCGTCTCTACTAAAAATACAAAAAATTAGCTGGGCATGGTGGCGCGTGCCTGTAATCCCAGCTACTCAGGAGGCTGAGGCAGGAGAATTGCCTGAACCCAGGAGGCGGAGGTTGCGGTGAGCCGAGATAGCGCCATTGCACTCCAGCCTGGGTAACAAGAGCGAAACCCCGTTTCCAAAAAAAAAAAAAAAAAAAAAAACTAGTTTTGCATTCACTCAGTATTTTATGGCAGTAGTTCTCAACCTTGACTACTCTTTGTAATTCCACTTGGGAGCTTAAAAAAGATCCTGATGCCTGGTCCCATGCCCAGAGAGTCTTACCCTGCACCTTATCATGCACCTTAGATATGGGTATCTTTGTTATTTTGGCTGAAAGGATCTAGCATGGTAGGTAGCAAAGCTGATTTGTTTATGTGAGGAATGAAGTGATAAATGAAAGGGTTGACTTTATATTTGTGTATATTCTAGTAAGGGTCTTTTTGCAAGAAACTGAGACTCTCAAATGACTAAAGAGAAAAGTAGGAATATGGGGGTGGGTATTGTATGGAAAATTGGCAGGTAGCCCTAAAGGGAGTAGCCCTAAACTGTTAGGAAGAGGGAGCTATGAGGACCAGCTACTTTTCTCTAACTTTCTCTCTTGGTATCATTGTTTCTCTTAGCATATCTGCTCCAGTCTCCTTTCACTCTCACTGCTGGGTGGTTTATTCTGTTTTTCTCCTTCACAGCCTCTGCTTACTCCATGTTAACCTCAGCGAATGCCTGGGCCCATTCCTGACCTGTCTTCAGCAGCACCTGCAATTGCTGACAACTTCATTTTTAATTTTTGAACATGCATTTCAAATTGCTAATAAGGGGAATTTGATTGGAATAGTATGCTTTAGGACACTGGCACACCCAAGATTTAGTTGCTATTATTCACATATTCAGTCAATGCTGATGGGGGAGGGGCAGGAGGTGTTTGATGCCTAGAAAAAGAAATATAGCTAGCAAAGACTACCACTTCAGAGGAGCTGTGGGTAGGACTCTTGCCTTGGGAAGGAGTCTGTGGTGAGGCCAGCATTCTGTGGTTTGGTCCTTTTTATTCACTTTTTAAAAGAAAGTCATTTCTCCTCTGCATGGAGGTAGTTCAGTCATAGCATGACTTTCAGGCAGGGCCAAGAAATATAGCATGAGTTTTATTGGTCTCTTGTCTCTTCATACTTAGAGGGCAAACCAATAGGAACATTTCACATGGTCAGCAAAGGGAATCAGTTAAGCTAAACAGTTTAAACCAAACCACCTCAGATTTGAAATATCTTAATTTATTTTAATTCAATGTAAAAAGAAAAGAATCTATTCCATCCAAAATATCAACAAATGCATTGATCTTAGGGACAGCAAATACAGGAGAGGGAATAATATGGGCTTGTTTTGGTGAAGGCCTGATGGCCAGGGAGCCCCTCTCTGCCATTCCTAGTCATTTTTTGTTCCCCCACTGGAAATGCTGCTCCCTCATTCCCAGGATCCCAAAGTGTCTCAAAAGCACAGTGGCCATATTCTTGGAGGCGGTGGGTGTGCTCATGCATGTGCTCCTATGTACTAGGAGCAGGGAGGGGAGGGATCTTTGACAAAGCAGACACACAAGAGAACAAGCTCAAGCCCTTACCCCAGAATCTCAACTCCCTTCTTCTTTCTGTACTGTTTGTTGGGGGGCGAAAAATACTCTTCATCAGTGTTCCCCACACACGGGCTTTTAATGAGCTCTGTTTTTAGTTTTTATTTGCTGATCACTAAACTGAAGGGCAGGTCTTGCCTGTTCCCAGAGATAAAGAACTGCATGTATAACTTGTCTCTATCCAGCCAAACAAGCACCAGTTTCTCTTTGTTTTTCACAGTGTTTCTGAGAGATAAAAGGAAACCACCCAGACATGATGCATGACCATGGGAGGTTTTGAAATAATATTTTATAAACTCATTCCCTATTCCAAGTTGTGGATTAGGAGTAGAAAGAAAGGGGAATGGCACCACATATAGCATAAGTTGATTTTTTTTCTGGGTTAAAAAATAAGCAGGCAAATATACATGTACACAGACACACAACATATGAATAAATGTTCAGCTGAGGAAATAATAAGCCAATTTTTGGTTATAGGCATGAAAGTCAAATAAGAAAAATTTTAGGCAAATGAATATATCCCTGAAAATTCAGTCACTGTTTCCTACCACAAAAAATGCCTCTGTCATATGGATTCAAAATCAATATCGAGCCGAGCCAGATATATTCCCGGAAGACTATGGGATTCAATCAGGATAGAGTCCTATTAAGTGCATGCCCTTCAGGACTTTTAGCAGTTTTCTGAGAAAGAGGGGTTGATTTGAGACAAATGATGATGCAAGATTTTAAGTAGTATAAGACTAAACTTAAGATCAGTTGGCACTGTTAAAGGCACAAAGAGTAAATGTTTTCAATAGCAAATGAAAATTATGGTAGCAATTTGAATGGGTATATTCAGTCATTTAGGAGAAATTTACTATTAAGCTAAGGAAAGAAGACTTGGGGCTGATATGATAGGACAGTGGAGATGCTGCATAGGAAGATAGTGTCTTCAGGAATGTTAGGAGGAGTAAACCTAAGAGACAGAGAGAGTGGTTAATAAAAGGGAAATTTAAGTTGAAAGCCATGACATCATTATTTCAGCAAACAGAAAAAAAAAAAGAGGAGAAAGTAGTCTTACTGAAGCCAAGTCCATCTTACCTACTCTGCATTACTGTTTCTTTCCATCACTAGGCTCATGAGCTTTAGTTGCTCTATTGTAGACTCTTGTCTATATCTCGTCTCCAGTGCTAGATGGTAACTTCACTGTAGTGAAAAAATATGTCTCATGGTTTCTCAAATTTCTCCACAATACCTAGTGTGGGACCTTACTGGAATAGTGGCTCAATAAATGATAGTTGGCATAATTACTTAATTAATTAATGGCTTCCTCGTGAAGTAATTATTTTTCCAAATTACATGCTAGATTTGGGTAAACCAAAACCTGGATAATATTTTTCCTTCTAATGTCAGGTAAATCAGATGAGCAATTTATGAATTAAATCATTAGAAGTTTATTTCAAAAGGAATTGGCTGGTCTAATGCTGGATATTGGGTAGGAAAATTAAATGTGTCAGTTTTAGGAGAGAGGCCAAAATCCAACAGACTTTTCATTGATCCCAGATTCATTCAATCAGACTAAACTTCAGTGAGTTTTGGTTTTTGTTCATCTGACCAGTACGTTTCCTGTGTAGGTCTACATTTTGGGAAGATTGGCTTCATGAGAGCACAAGTCCTGTCTATTTTGCTCACTGTCATATCTCCAACATCTAGAATAATCTGGCCTGGAATGTAGTAGGGTCTTAAGAAACAATTGTGGAGGGGAGGGAAGCAGAGAGGGAGGGAGGAAAGGAATCAAGAGGGAAGGAAGGGAGGGCTCTGATTTTCATACCAGTTAGCCTGGCACTAACTCACTCACTCATCAGTTGTGATTTACCCTCCCCCTCAGATTCTATGTTAGGCACCAAGGATACCAAAATTATGAGGTACCACAGTGTTTGCTCCCAAACAATTAATAGTCTAGTGAAAGAGAAAGAGATCTAATACAACAGGTAGTAAGTACTGTGCACCAGAGCAAATGCCACTGTCATAAAGGGAGTGTGCCAATGGGAACATCTAATTTGTCCCAGGAAGGGCAGGATGCAAAACACATGGCTAACCTGAGTAGAATATTAATAAATGCAATGATGCTTTGAAGGCTTGAGAACCTGTTATTCTCTGTAGTCCTAAAACCAACTGTGGCCAGATTGAATAAAATATGGAAGACTATAAGTCATTACATTTTAGCCATTCTCTATTCAGAGTCATTTTGATGTTAGAAGTTATTTTGTCTTGACACTATTAGACTTGGGTTTCATTCAGGTAGTACCAATGCCTAGAGTGAGTCCATCATACTGCAGCTTATCACAGAATCATGGCTTTATAACTACAGTCTTTATAAGCACAAGTCTAAATAACACAAATTGAAGGTCCGTTGTTTGGGCCAGATCCTACATCGTATACCAGGAGTAACAGCTTTGTTAAGCATAATCAGTTAGGACTGCTATCTGTTCTTTTCTGAGCAAATCCTTGTTCCTGTGACAAGGATTAATGATATAACAGCCAAAAGGTAGTCTTTGTATTTTATAGCAACTTATAGCAGTAAAGGTGTGTGTTTTCCATTGAAACAGCAAGTTTTTTAAACAGGGTAGATAAACTTGACAACAAAGGAAGAATCAGTGGTAAAAAAGAATAAATTGTTGTTGACTAAGTTTATTTACATATAGCACAGGATTCTGTGGATATGATGCTAGACTTCTTAAGCAAGAAAATTCAGTGTCTAAGAAAAAAGAAGATCCTGCTTTGACTTCTGCTTCTGTATTTCCTTATTCAGGTGCTGACTCCAGCACAGATCAAATCAATTTGCCAGGCAATTCTGGACTCTGGGAAGCAGTATGCCATAAAGAAGAGGAAACCATTCCCCCTGATGTATTCTTATTATGGAACTGAATACTTGGGTGAGTGAAGGTGTTGGCATGGGCCTGTAGGATGGAGAAAGTCTCTAATATTAATACAGAATAAAGGCTGGAAGATTTTGTTTTTGCTGTAGGTCATTACTATTCATTTAATATGAAGTACATTAAAATGTTCTTTAAAAACATATACTGATAGATAACACAAATCACAAGTTAATATTTGTTTTCATAGTCTACCTGACAGAAATGTAGCTATTTTAACAATTACTTTCACTAAAGACTAATATCTTTATTCTAGATTGTAAGCTCATTGGCCCAATTTTTCTGAAAGATTATGAATGCTTTTCACACACGATTGCAGATAATGCCTCTGCATAGGGAAGCAGGATTCAGTGGCTAATATTTTGAAGGTTTTAATAGTAGTGGATTAAACAGCCAATTGAATTGTAATGGCTAATGTTGAACTCTGGGCCATGCAAAAAATAAAAAAGTAGTTACTCTTGTTTTGAGTTCTTCAGTGGCTCACCATTACTACTGAGCAAGATTTGCAAGGTCCTTTATGGACCACCTGCCTCTTTTTCTAGATTCAAGCTGTATCTTTACCCTCCAGGTTCTGTCCAGCATAGTCTCCCACATGCAGTGTTCTCTTTCTACCTTTGCCCAGGTTCCTTTTGCCTAGAATGCCCTACTTCCCTCAGCCTCTTTATCTATCTGTAATAATTATACCTACAATTCAAGACTCTGCTCAGACATCATTAATCTCCTGCAAAATGTTCTGTGCTTTTGGAAAGAGGGTTGTTGATTCCTCTGTGGAGAAATATTCACAAGTTTCAGGTTTTCTCCCAAAGCAAAATTGGATAACATGCTGTCATCCTCTGCATACTTCTATTGGAGCCCTTATCACACTGTAATTAGTGGCTTACCTGCCTAACTGCCTGAGCAGGCTTTGTGCCCCTTCAGGATGGAAACATTCTCTCATTTATCTTCATGATCCCTAGACCTTTACCACAGAGCCTGCACATAAGGGAACCCAAAAGAATGAATGAATATCTAATAAAGAACTTCAACGAGTCTTCTCAAAGAAATTTTACATTTCTGTTTAAGTTTCTCTACAATCAGACCCTGAGACAAGGATTTGGGTGTAAAGGGTTTATTTGAAAGGTAATTTCAGAAAGTGTTGATAGAGGAGTAGAGAAATGAGACAGGAAAGAGAAAGAAGCTAATTGAGTATGTAATAATGAGCGATTGTGGACAACTGAGACTCAGTTCCCCTAGGGAACTTAGAGACTTTATAGAACACGTCTCAGAATTGTTTCACCCAAATGGGGAAGAAGCTGGGGTATTCATCCACCAACTCTCTGCTCTATTGATTGGCTGCTCCTAGAGTTGTTAATTCCCTAGCAATTCTGTCCTGCCCCTTTAGGCAGGGCATACTCTGTGGCCAGAGAAAGCCTCAGGCAGAATGATAGATGCTTGAAATATGAAGTGGGAGCAAAGATGCACCTGAATGGTGAGTGTGGATGAGGTGATAAGCCAGGGCACTGACAGTGTCTGCTATAGTCCCCTAATCTATTCCATTCATTTTTCTGGTTTTATTTTTTGAGACAAGGTCTCTGTCTGTCACCCAGGCTGGAGTGCAGTGGTATGATCATAGCTAACTGCAACCTCGACCTCCAGAGCTCAGGTGATCCTCCCGCCTCAGCCTTCCAAGTAGCTAGGACCACAGGCATGCTTCACTATGCCTGGCCAATTTTTATCTTTAAAACTTTTTTATGGAGACAGGATCTTGTTATGTTGCCCAGGCTGGCCTGGAATTCCTTGGCTCACGTGATCCTCCCACCTCAGCCACCCGATATTTTTCAGGTTTTCTTTAGAGAAATTAACATTCTGGCTTTTTACATATATCGCTTGAACTAGATTTCTATCTAATGCATATACATATTTGCCTGAAAAGCAAGCTTTTTTCCCCAACAATTCCAAATCCAGCAAAATAAAGGTATTTTCAAATTTCATGATCAAATGTTAAAAGCAATAGAAATTTTGACTGAATACAAACTGTAAAGCTGTTTCCAGGGAGTCAAAAGTTCTGAGTATGGCAAAGTAAAACATGCCTGAATACAAAGAGAAAGGTTTAAAATTATAGAGTTGAGTTTAAAGAGCAAGCCATCAGAATATATTAACCCTAGTACCATCCACTAATCAGGATTCTACTAACTGGGAATGAGCAAAAACTCCTAGAGAGACTGGGCTTTACCTTTGTTAGGCTAACTTCTTTTCCAAAGGCAGGTTCAGGCCTTTGCTAGTTCAATACCCTTTGCTAGTTCAGAATTCTCTTAGGAATTCTCAAAACTTTGCTCAGATGACACTATCTGTATGGAATCTTCAGCATCCCCTCCACCCTTGAGGCCAAGTTAAGCGCTCCTCCATCCTTTCTATTAGTCCTTGTAGCAGTTGTGGTTCTCTAGACAAACAGAATATGATTTATTATATAAATAAATTATTTATTATAAGGAATTGGCTCACATGATTATGGAGGCTGAGAAAGCCAGATCCAGGGAAGCCAATAATGTAAGTTTCAGTCTGAGTCCAAATCTGAAGTCAGGAGAAGGCCAATGTCCCAGTTCAAAGACAGTCAGGCAGAAAAAACTAATTCTTACTCACACTTTGTTCTATTCAGCCCTTCAGTGAATTGGATGAGATCCACCCACATTGGAGAGGGCAATGTGCTTCGCTAAGTGAACAGATTCAAATGTTAGTTATATCCAGAAACACCCTCACAGAAACACTCAGAAGTGACATTTAACCAAACATCTGGACACTCCTTGGCCAAGTCAAGTTGGCACACAGAATTAACCATCGTATTTCTGGTATACATTTCTCGTAGAACACTTATCACTTCATATTCTAATTATTTCTTTACAAATCTGGCTGTCTCATTGGACTGAATGGAGAGGCCTTCAAAGGTATCAACCAAATCATGTTTATATGTATAACCAGGGTTAGTCAGTGCCTAATATGCAAGTGCTGAATGTAAAGAATTAAGTAAATGAATATCAATAACTAGTCTTTAACATTATAAAAGAGGGATTTAGTCTGTTTTGTGCAGTGATCTATCCTCAGCACCTAGAACAGTATCTGGTACAGAGTAGATGCTTAATATTTGTGTGTTGAATGAATGAATAAAAAAATAAATGTTTAGGATACCTAGACCAAATTATTTTCAAGCATTTTAAGAAATTTTTTGTGAAAGCTATTGATATTTCAATTACAAAGTTTTAAAAGATCTCTTTACTGAAACAAAGATTGGTCAGCAAACTTCTTCTGTAAAGGGCTAGAGATAGTAAATATTTTTGGCTTTCTGGGCCATACAGTCTCTGACACAAATACAACACTGCTGTTGTAGCCAGAAAGCAGCTATAGAAAATATGCAAATGAATGAGGATGGCTATTCTTTAATAAAACTTTATTTAGAAAAACTGGCAATGAGCCATATTTGGCCTGCAGGCTATAGTTTGATAGAAGCCTAGTTCTTAGGCATCTTAGTTATCACATTACTATATGAGCTTTCAAGTAATATTGGCATTATTATTGTTTTTTATCCTGTTGTTTATCTTTTCACTAAATCAAACTGGTTGTCCTCCCAGTTGTGTGAATTTTATGCCTTGTTTGTTAACACAGGGGCAGCTCATGGCTTGTCGTCTATTCTTCAGATGCTTCTTTCTTACCATGAGCATCTGAAGCCCTCAGATCGGGAGCTGGTATGGCAAAGCGTGGACTTTCTCATGGAACAGGAACAAAACTGCAACTGGCCACCTGAGCTTGGCGAGACCATCGAGAGAGAGAATGAGCTGGTGCACTGGTGCCATGGCGCTCCAGGTCTTACACACTCTGTTATCTAAAAACATTGACTTTCATCTAGGTTAGCCACAGGGAGGTACCTTTTCTGAGAAGTGAGGATAACTCATCTTATGTCATTACTGTGTGAGATAACAAGGTCAAGATGAAATTTTTCAAAGCCAAAAAATTCCTGATCAGTAAACAACTTCTGAAAATGGTCCTCTATATTTTAATATATATGAGCTACATCTATTTGTTTATAAAGTTAAACTAGAATTGTCCAATAGAAGCATAATATGGGCCACATATGTAATTTAACTTGTTAGTAACCTCATTAAAAAAGTGAAATCAGGTAAATTAATTTTAGTAATATATATTATAGATCTCAATATACCCCAAATATTATCATTTCCATGTGTATCCAATTTAAAAATTGAGATATTTCACATTTTAAAAATATTCAGTCCTTGAAATCCAGCATATACTGTATTCTTATGTCAAATGTCAATTATACTAGCCACGTTTCAAGTGCTAAGTACCTACATTGGATAGTGCTGATCTGGAGCCTGGCAATTCAAAATGTGGCCACTGGAACCAGTAGCATGGGCAACTGAGAGCTTGATAGAAATCCAGAATCTCAGGCCCCATCCTAGATCCACTGAATCAAAATCTACATTTTAACAGTATCCTTAGGTAAATTGTATGCACTTTAAAGGTTGAGATGTACTGTTCTACAACTCTTCTTCCAATGAAAATTTCCATCAGTACCAAAGAAAATGTCTAGAAACATGAAAAGCTATCCCCAGTAATCTCTGTGGAACTGAGGCTGGAAATTTAGCAAACCCCTTCTTTCCCCCCTTTTAAAAATTTCATCACATTGCTAATTAAGCTTTCAGAGAAGGGGTAATTTGAAAAAAAAAAAAGTTAAATTCAAATAATTAATATGGGTTAGATAGCTAGGGGAGAGATTTAAAAATACCAAAATAGTACAAAATTCTTAGGTTCCGAGTCAATTTAATTTTCAAGAAGCTTCAATTCCACAAGCACACTTTTAAAATATGTTTGATTTTTTTTTTTACTTTTTTACCTGAGTTTTATTACCTCTTCCCCCCATGAATTAATGTTCTTTAATCCAACTATAATTTCATTTTGGGGGTTACAGTTTGAGTTGATGAATAATGATCCCAGAAAGTATAGTCTTGAGTTGATGCATAATGTAAGTTGCAGTCCATTGGTCATATTTTTTCTGCCTGCTACATTTACCTATGAAAGAAAGTTCAAAATATGTCCTTGTACCAGTATCCATGCATTGTGCATTGTGTCCAGGCTAACTCCTGCCAGTTATAATTTGAGTCCATTTCTTTTTAATTTGGCCTTTTTTGGGAAAAAAAAAAAAAGTTGTTTACCATGCTGGAAATGATACTCCTTCTTGTTATGCTCAATTCTTCCATTTTTCATTTATTTTAATTATTCTCAGTGATGGTCTCTGTATATTCTCCAAGCATCCCAGCCAGGATCCTTGAATTTTGGAGATACCCTAATTTAAACACAGAGTATTTTAAAAGCATTCAATGTGCTAGTAAAAGTCCTGAAAAAAGTGGGATGATAATCTACTAAAATGAGTGACTGGGTCAGTTAATTGTCTTGCAGGGAAATTATTCCATCCTTTCTGTACACTGTCTCTGTACACTGCCACCTGTCTCTGTAAATCATTTACCATAACAGTGCAGCATAGAATTCATCACTTTGGAGACTACATCCTCCTTTATCATTCATGTTCAGTATCTAGAGAATATTAAACATGGGATTTAAAGAAAAATCATTCAATCCACATATTCACTGAACTACCAAAAATAAACCAATTCACAACTGAATAAAAAACTAAGTGGGGCCCATTATTTCTACCCACCCCTACCCCCATCTCAACGGTATTGGTCTTTCTTTGAATAGATGCTCTAAAAACAGCATCAAGATTGTTAATAAGTCTAATAAATGCAGTCTAAGGACCACCAAGATTTTGCAGAAGTTGGCAACAGCAAACTCTCTAAAAATTCTCTACAGGAAACGAACTATAAAATAATTTTCATTTATTTAAAGAAAACATTTTTGAGAGTAGATTTATGAACAGTGCAGATGGTTTGAGGCAGCAGACAAATTCTGTGATTAAAAACCTGCTAGAAATAATCCACAACGTGGAGCTTCATTAATGATACCTTATCTGTTTCTATAATTGTTTCCTATTGATGTTCCTTCAACCCACCTCTACAGGTAACAAGCCTAGTTATCATTTATACAGTGTAGAAATAGTTCTTGACTTTAAGTTAATAACTCCAGCTTCTAATTTCAGCTCCAACACTAACCAGTTTGCTGACCTTAAGAAAGGGTTACTTTCTTTTGTGCCTTTGTCTCTTTATCTGTAAAATGAGCACATTGAGACTCACTAGTGGAATTCAATCATTTTATCACCGTAGACCCCCTTTTATACTTTGGACCCTTGCCATTCCTGAGGGCTGTGTCTCAAAAGCTTTGTGAACAAGACATTTATAAATACCTTGTGTGGCACTGGCACATAGGTTTTTCTTAATAAGTGCAATAAAGTATTACAGGAAAATTAATATGACCTCTTCATAACCTTGATGATTCTGAAATACAGGACCAAAGTCATTTACAAAATCATTAAAACAAATGCTGTGGTTAAAATAAACTCTCAACTGCATTAGGTTACATCATTGCTGTGGTAACACTGACAGTGCATTTCTTTTACTCTGCATGAAGTATAGATGTGGGCATTTAAAAAAAAAAAAAACTCATTTTGTAAAGGCTGTTAGGTAGGTGACTTTGAATAAAGAACAACAAGGCTTTTGCAGGACAGATATCATTGGTCATTAAGCTCTGTAGTGCACACCATAAAATGCATGCCTCAGCGAAATTACACAACTCGGAATGGACCTGAGTGGTGATTCTCCAGTATGTTGAAGCTACACGTGCCAACTCTGGCTGTCAGAAGGCCTTGCTAGGTCTTATATTTTCTGAAGTTTAGTGTCTCAAACCATATTTATTAAGTAACAATGAATTCCTTTCCCAGTTGCATTTAGCAAAGACATCATTGCTGACTCAGGCTACTTATCAATGCACAATAATTAGTGTTCCTATGATGAAATGATATGGTTCCTGATTCCTATAAAAAGGAAAGAAACCTACCATTCCTTTTCTTTTTTTTTAATTAAGCCACCTTATTGTGACTTCCATTATGTTGGGTAAGGAGCCAATGGGTTTAGAAGTTTTGCAAGGTCACTTCCATGTACCATTCTGTGATCCAGGATGCAGGAAGAGGCTCTTTCACCCTGGCCGGAACCACAGGATCAATACCTTTTAATCTGTCTGGGACTCGGCCTGGTATAGCAATTAGACCATCTCACCCTTCTTCCTTCTACATCTCTCATCTATACCCCAGCATCAGCCTGTGCTGGGGTGAGAAATGGGGCACTTTATGGTCAACAGACATTTATGAGGCTCTTGGCATTTGCCAGACACCATGCCACACACTAGTGGAACAAAAGTGAACAAGATACGGTTTCTGCTCTTGAGTAGTTTGCATGGTATTAGGAGAGCCAGCAATGGAAATAGGTAATTTTAATTGGGTTCTGTGTAAGTGCTAAAGTTCGTATAGGGAGAAATGAAAGCTCAGAGGGGTTACTCATGCTGCCTCCAGGCCCAGGCAAGGCTTCCTGAAGGTTGTGATGCTTGAAGTAAGTTAGCCAGACCAAGAAAGGTACAAAGCTTATTCCAAGAAAAGTGAACCACATTGGTAGTTAGAAGCATGAAAGCACTGCAGGTGGTTTGGTTCTACTGAAGTGAAAAGATTCAAGAACGGAATGGAGGAGAAGAGGTGGAAAAATAGAAAAGGAGCTCAGTCACAAAGGGCCTTCTGCGTCATGCTAAAGCATCTGGGTAATAGGGAGTCATTTTGGTAGTTTAGGCAGGGGAATGTCATGGTCACATTATGGTCCCAGAAAGGCCACTCACTGCCACTGAATGAGTTTAAGTCATGGCAGACCTGGGGGCAGGAAGCTAAAGCAATCATCTAGGAAGGACATTTAGAGCCTGAGGAAGGCCAGCAAGAGCAGGGCCTTCCCACCCGCCCGTTCTTTGAATGGCTGTAATGCCCTCACTCTTCAACAAGCTCTTTGCTCAGGGTCTAGAAGTAGAGCTTGCTGTCAAGAGAAACCTGTAAGGGAGCAGGGAAGCAGAATAGGCCAAAGAGGACCATGTCTTACCTGGAGGCTAGCTTCACCCTAAGTCTGAGGAGAAGCTAAGAAACACAGATTATATCAAGAAACTGGGTCTCTCTTGAGGCAAGGAAGCTGATATTTTGTATCCCTGTGTTATCCCTGTGTCATCCCTGTGAGGGGTGGCTGCATAGCATAGCCTCTCATTTGTCTGAGGGAAAATCTCTCAAGAAGATGTAGCAGTGAGCTTTGTTAGTTACCAGCTCTCACAGGAACTGGGAAATGAGGCATTTGGTCAGTAAGGTAAAGCTGATCCATGCAGGTCATCAACAGCATCCAATACACCTGGCTAATTCCCTACCAACCTCCAATAATCAGATTAGATGGTTTCACTCCTCTAGTAGTCATTTCCTTCTGCCGAGTGTGTGGGCTGGGAGACCTCCTGTGTGCTTCCATGAGACTTCTATTGCCCCTCACATAGTCTAATACTTCCAGTTAAGCTGAAAAACACCATGAAGATAGAGACTTTCTAAATGCTTAGCACCTACTACTGTGCCTGGCATATAGTAGATGCCCAATTAATATTGAAATATTTACCAAGTTCTGCAAAATGTCTTTTTCATTGGCTTTCTATTTTTTAAGTGAAGCTTTTCCCTTTTTTAAAATTAAGGTGAAATTTACATAATATACAATTAACCATTTTATTATTTTTTTTGTTTTCTCAACTTTTATTATGATTCATTGGGCACATGTGCTGGTTTGTTACATGGGTAAATTGCATGTCACTGGGGTTTGGTGTACAGAGGATTTTGTCATGCAGATAGTGAGCACAGTACCAAATAGATAGTTTTTCAACCCTTACCCTCTTCCTACCCTCCCTGCTCAAGGAGACCCTGGTGTCTATTGTTCCCATATTTATGTCCATGTGTTCTCATCATTTAGCTCCCACTTATCAGTGAGAACATACAGTATTTAGTTTTCTATTCCTGCATTCATTTGCTAAGGATAATGGCCTCCAGCTCTATCCATGTTCCTGCAAAGGACATGATCCCTTTTTTATTGCTGCATAGTATTCCATGGTATATATGTACCACATTTTCTCTATCCAGTCCACCATTGATGGGCATCTAGGTTGTCTCCATGTGTTTGCTGTTGTGAATAGTGCTATGATGAACATGTAGATCACTTCTGTCTTTCTACCCACATAATCGGCTCACAACTACCCTGTTACCCTTCTTTAGGTCTATCCTGATACCACTAAAATTGGGACATTTTGTCCATAATAATCACATTGTCATACAAAAATAAAAACCAACCAGTCCACAACAAAAACACTTTCATTGGTTCCCTGATAATCATAGAGTACAGTCCAAGCTATCTAACTAGTCTAGCCTTCTTCCTCACTAGCCTGTTGGTTAGAACATTGCCCCACTAGCCTTCATGTGGCTTGTCCTTTCTGGCTCCATATCTTTGCCCTTGCTAATCTTGGTGCTAGATAGAATGCCCTCCCTGCTTCATCTTGAGCCTGGAGTTTACTATGTATCCTTCAAAGTTCTGAAAAAGTGCTCCTTCCATTTAGGGCCTCATCAGCTATCTCCGTAGGGAACTTCCACCTTTCTGATTCCAATAGTATTATTGAGAGAACCATTTATTTTATGTTCCAGCAGCATCATGAACTACATATCCTATTATGTATTAGTCATAAGTATATATTTTTATCTCCCTTTATAGAGAATGCCTTCTTGAAGGGTGGTAGTCATGTTTAGTATTTATTTAATATCACCCATTGCTGGGACTGAGTATATAATTTGGAAGGCCCATAGAAAAATGAAAATGCAAGTTCTTTTTAGAAAAATTATTGAGAATTTCAAGGTGGTAATAGCAGAGCATTAAACTCAACATGGGACCCTTTTAAGGAGTATGGGCTGTAGAGTGCACAGGTGGCATGCCCATGAAACTAGCCTTGCCTAGGGCTGTGCATACAGTACATAATCAATGACTACTTTCAAATGAATGGATGCAATGAATGAATGCATGATTAAATAAATTCAGTTCTTTTAATATAATTCTTTAGTTTGTGCAAGATACTTTGTTCCTAAAACTGAAGTAGGAGAATGCTGTAGGTAATCATTGTCAGTAGTTGACTGGAAAGCATTGACTGAGCAAAGAGCTTGTTGCTATGTAAATATTAATCAAAGGGTATATTAAAGGATACACTTAAAAAGAGGATGAAATCATGACTCTCATACAAATATAAAAAGAATACATGTGAACCATTTTACTGAGCTCATTATTTAATGAGGGAACCAGAAAGATGTTACAACTGTTTCAAAGGAAAATCCAAAGAGTAGACATATTTATATAGGCCATTAGGAATGCTGAAATAAATTTGCTTAATAAATGCAAAACTGGCTTCTTCCACAGAGGCAGAGGGAAGTCAACCTCTACTAGACAGAATGTGAATTTCTAGGGACAAAAAATATTTACATTACTGTCAGTTTTCTATAAGACAGTTTCTATCTCTACAGAGTTGTAAAATAGCCTAGTCAAAGCAATGAAAGGCAATGATAACCCTGATTGACTATATTTCAGTCTTTCACACTTTTTATATAGGAGAAAAGTAGGTTATGCAGGAAAGAATGTGATCTTGTGATAACCTCCTCACTGAATATGAACACCCAGAACTTGGGGAAAATCATTTCTATTAATAGCTGTTGCTTCTCTTGTTTCCATTTCTGCCTTTGTAATTGATATTACTTTGGTTAAAGAGCTTTGAAGGAACAATGCTTTCCTTGGAACAATCAGGGTGGGAAGGACTCACTTCACAGCTGAAGTAGAAGTCTTGGCAAGGTCCTTCTGGAGCATTGTTTTTCTTGGAAAGATGCCCAGTTTTGCTCTTAAGAAAATGTGTGTAGTTATACGTACTTAAACATTACAAATGTAAAACTACAAATTCATTACAGGATAAATATTTAGCCGTTTCAAATAACCAAATATACATAATGCTTACTAGAGTATACATCATTAAATATTAACCCATTTATAAATTAAATTTTAGATTTTATCTATATATGTCAATTTAAAATGTTGCTTTTTCTCCCAGGGCCAACCCCATAATAAAATTAAAACAAATTAAAATCTCACCAGAAAAATAAGACTCTTATAGAACATTCTAGCACCTTCCTACTCAAAGTGTGGTCTTTAGAAGGATGCTTCTTAGGAATGTATATCTCAAGCCCCACATCAGAACTATCATATTAGAATCTGTGTTTTAACAGTACTCAGGTTATTCATGAGCTTTTTATAGTTCTAGAAGTTCTGCTCCAGAATATTAAGTCCTGAAAGTCACCTCTAATGTTTTTGATGTTTTCACAGGAATTGCCTATCTGTTTGCCAAAGCTTATCTGGTTTCCAAGAAACCGCAGTACCTGGATACATGTATTCGGTGTGGGGAGCTCACGTGGCAGAAAGGCCTGCTAAAGAAGGGGCCTGGGATTTGCCACGGAGTAGCTGGCAGTGCCTATGTCTTCCTGCTGCTGTACCGGCTCACAGGAAACTCTAAATATATCTACAGAGCTCAAAGGTCAGCTGTTCTTTATAGGTCTTTTTTTTTTATTTTTTTATTAATTTTCAAAATTTAAATCTAATTAATTTTCTGAATTAGTAATATAGTCAATTCAAACATGGTTTGAAAAGTGTAAAAATAAATACATCAACTGTGCCCTGCAGCCATGCAGTTGACTTCTCTGGAGATAGTTTCTTGGTTATCTTCCCAAAGATATTCTGTGTACGTAGTGTATAGGTAAATGTCTTAATCCATTTGAGTTGCTATAAAGGAATACTTGAGGGTGGGTGCTTTATCAAGAAAAAGTTTCCTTTGGCTCATGGTTCTGCAGGCTGTACAAGAAGCATCACTAACATTTTCTTCTGGTAAGAGCTTCAGGAAGCTTCTACTCATGACAGAAGAAGAAGGAAAAAGCAGACATCACAAGGCGAGAGAAGAAGGGAGAGAGAAGGAAAGTGCCAGGCTCTTTTAAATAATCATCTCGTGGGAACAAATAGAGTGAGAACTCATTCATTACCAAGAGGATGGCATCAATCTGTTCATGAGTGATCTGCCTCTGTGACCCAACCATTTCCCACTAGGTCCCATCTGCAATACTGAGGATCAAATTTCAACATGAGATTTGAAGGGTAAAATACCTAAACTATAATACATACATACATATGTGTGTGTGTATTTGTCCACATATGTGTGTGTATGTGTTTATTTGTCTCTCTTTTTTATCCAAATGATAGCATCTTGCTATCTTAGTGATCGCCCTATATCAGTACAGAAAGAGCTTATTTAAACATTTTTATTATTGCATAGCATTATATCGTATGAATGCACCATAATTTATTTAACCAGTCCCATATAGGAAGATATTTAGGTTATTTCCAATACTGTGTACTACAAATATTGCTGTGATGAATAATCTTGTGCATATATCATTTTACATATGTATAGGTATATCTAAAAGATAAATTTCTGGAAATGGAATTGTTGGGCCAAAGGAAATATATATCTCCTATGTGTGTATGTGTGTGTGTGTGTGTGTGTGTGTGTGTATACATATATTATATATACATATCTCCTATATATGTTATATAAATAAATATATATAAATATATATATTTGTAATTTTGACAGACAATATAAAATTTTCCTCTATAGTTTATTTCCTGTAAACCTAATAAAGGTGAAACATCTGCTATATAACAGACAACATTGCGTTTAATAGATATTACCTCTGACTGGTGATCTGGGTAAACTGAGCCAGGGGCCATAAAAGAACTATAAATAATCTGATAGAAAGCACAGGTAGGGGCTTCCCTGAATGCAGAGTGGCATGAAAGTAGCATTCACTTTGAAGGGACTTAGGTGTCTAGAACCATAAATGCTTACAACAGACATTTGTGTGGCACCTAGGTCTTCTAAGCCAGAGTGGTCTTTCATACCCACCCATGTAGTCTGGTTCCCATCAATCTGAGCTGTCACTTGGTGGAGGCAGGAGGGGGTGCTAGAGTAGTGCCTGTACTGTTATGAAGATTCCCACTAAAAGTGCATAACTGATGATTATCAAATTGACTGTATGACATTTAACAAATCACTTATTACAATGAGCTAAGTGACAAGTGACCTTTAACAAGGTCACACAACTTTTAGCAAGTCACTTAGCTCATTTTAACAAGTGATTCTCAATATCTTCATTCATAAAATACAGAAAATAGTACCTACATCATAGGGATGTTTGGTAGTTTCAACTAGTTAATATATGAAAAATTGTTTAGAATAATGCTTGGCACATAGTAACTGCGGTGTAAATGTTCGTTATTATTACTATAATTCCAGACTTTTCTTTATGCATAAATGTTTGTTCACATAGATGTATATGTGTACATGTATATTTTAATGAGCTCCTACTATTATAGATGTGTAATAGTTCTATACGTACTATTTATAGCTTGCTTGCTTGCTTGCTTATTTATGTATTTGATACAGGTTCTCACTCTATCACCTAGGCTGGAGTACAGTGGTGTGATTCATGGCTCACTGTAGCTTGGAACTTGTGGGCACACCTTAGCCTCCTGAGTAGCTAGGGCTACAGGTTCATGCCACCATACATGGCTGATACCATCTGGATCTGTGTCCCTACCAAATATCATGTCTAATTATAATCCCAGTGTTGAAGATGGGGCCAGGTAGGAGGTGATTGGAGCCTGGGGACAGAGTTCTCACGAATGGTTTGGCAACATCCCCTCTTGGTACTCTATAGTGATAGAATTCTCAAGAGATCTGGTTATTTAAAAGTGCATAGCACTTCCTCCTGCTCTCTTGCTCCTGACTAGTGGAACTCAATCTTTCCCAGAAGCTGCTATGATTCCTGTACAGCCTGCAGAACTATGAGACAATTAAACCTCTTTTCTTTGTAAATTACCCAGTCTCAGGTATTTCTTTATAGCAGTGCCAGAATGGATTAAAACAACAACAATTATTATTATTATTATTATTATTATTATTATTATTATTTTGTAGAGACAGGATTTTGCTATGTTGCCCAGGCTGGCCTTGAACACCTGGCCTCAAGCAATTCTGCCTCAGCCTCCCAAAATACTGAGATTACAGGTGTGAGCCCACCACCTCCCCACTATGTTTGCAGCTTATAATTTTAAACGAACAATTTTTAAAGGCCATTCTTTATTTCATTTTGTATAAATGTATCTCATTTTTTAAGTGGCTATATAGTTACTCACTATGTATGTACCATAATTAACCAATCCCTAAATAATGGACACTTGGTATGTGTGTAATCTTTACTAATACAAACAAAATTTCCCCAAATATCCAATACATATATTTCTGTGCACTTGCGAAAGCACTTGTCAGAGAAATTTTAGAATTGAAATCATTAGGTCCATAGGTATTTCTAGGTCCATAACTAGCCTGTCTTTATCCTTTGCCCATTTTTTTCCTGTTGTGATTGTAACTCTTTGTCAATATATGTTGTAAATATTTTCCTGCTTTGCCATTTCTCTTTAAATTTTGTCCTAGCCTTTTGTCATACCAAACTTTTAAGTATTTTTCTTGTCAAAGTTTTTAATCTTTTCTTTAAAACTTCTAGATTTTGTGTTATGCTTTAAACGACCCTTCCCAATTCAGGTTTAGAAAACAAGTATTATGTAAATTACTTATAATAAATTACTTATATGGGCTTATAATAATTTTATGATTTTATTTTAACATTAAAATTTTTGATTCTGCTAGAACTTTTAAAATAGTCTCAGATGTATATCTTTTCTTGTTTATTAAAAAAATTCTAATAGCATCTGTTGACCAGTTACCCCCATAATTTGAAATATCAATTTTTTCATAAACTGAATTTATATAAATATATGAGTTCCATACTTTCCCCTATTCAACCTATTATTCTCTCATTTATTCTTTTAATTGTATTTTAGAGTCAATTTGTCATACTTAAAAAAGTCTTACAGAAATTTGATTGGAACTTCATTGAATTTACAGATTACTTAATGAGAATCAGCATCTTTAGAATATTGAGTTTTTCCATCTAGGAATATGGTATACCTTTCCATTTATTTAAGTTTAAACAAATATAATTTGGTAAAGTTTTGATCTTATGAAAAAGATCTTGTATGTTTCTTGTTAATTTTATTCCTGGGTATTTTATGTTTCCAGGTTTATTGTGAGTGGAATCTTTTCCTTCATTATATTTTCACACCATTCATTACTGGTATATATGAAAGTTCTTAAAACATACACATCACTGAATCTTTTCATTCTAATATGTAATTTTTATATAAATATAGATTTTATAAGTATTTTACTTTTTATAAATATTATAATAACATATCTAGCTGCCTTAATTAACTCCATTACTGTTTCTATTAGTTTTTTATTAGATTCTGTCGGGTTTTCTAAATAGATACACACACATCTGCAAATAACTATGATTCTGTTACTTCCTTTCTCATGTGCATGGTGTTTTTTTTCCACTACATGGTTCTCTATAACAATGCAACCCTATAAAAATGTTCAATAGTAAGAGTGGTAGTAAACACCCTTGCTTTTTATGCTGATTTTACTAGGAATGCTTCTATGTTTTACCATGGTTTTTATATTCACTTCTTATAATGTTTATCCTGTTAGATTATAACACTTCTCTGTTCAGTGTAATCCAATAGCTTCCTATATGATTCAGAGTAATGCCAGTCTTTCCTATGAATGAAAGGTCCTACATGATCTAGTTTCCCATTACCTCTCTAATCTCATTCCCTACTCTTCTTCCACCTGGTTCTTTCCAACACTGTGGTTTCCTTGTAATTCCATTAGGATACCAGGTAGACTCCATCTCAAGGCCTTGGAAGTTTTGGTTCCCTCCACCTGTAATGCTCACTTTCTACATATATCTCCTAACTCACCTATTTCATTCAGACTTTCACTCAAAAGTCATTTTCTCATAAAGGCCTTCCCAAACCAACTTATCTAATATTTAATGTTTAAAAAACATAAACTATTTTTCATGATATTTACATGAATGCACTGAATGGCAAATACTAACTTATGTAAGTCTTCAATTTGAAGCTCTATTGTTTAGGAAATCTGTTTATATATTTGATTCGTGGTTTCCTTCAAGCCAGATCTTTTGTTTCCCAAATACAGAAAAAGAAAGTAATTCTGGATATCATCTAGGCTAGTGGGATTTCACCTTTGGGATAAATTTCATCAGAAATGAATGAAATTCATTCATTTGCTATAAAGTCTATTAAAAGAGATCAGAACACTTCTATTTTCTGTAATTTTAAATATTTTAACTTTTAAAAACTTTGTGTAAATGTATGGGATTCAAGTGTAATTTTGTTATTTGGATAGATTGCATAGTGGTGAAACTGGGACTTTAGGGTATCCATCACTCAAATAACGAACTTTGTACACATTATTTTCTGGCAGGCCAGTCCTAGCTTACAGAGTCTTAGTTATAAGATTTGGGGTTCAGGGCTCTAAAGAGACAACTTACATTTTTTACTAACAGGTAGAATACTGGAAATGTTCAGGTAATATCTGTATTGTTTGGGTATTGTGTGAACAACTGCAACCAAATGTGTAGGAAAGAGACTATTCCAGTGAACAGTTTGCAAACAGAGGATACACAGCCTTTGGTGTAGAGTGAAGCAGGCTTTCAGAGAACGAGAGAGGGCTGCCCAGGTCAGGTCCTTTTATGCAAATGAAGGATTGAAACTCAGTTCCTATTGGTCAGTGCAGCTGAGCCCTGATTGGCCAGGGCAGTTGACTCTGTTTGGCTTAGGTGTGATATGATTGATTAGTTTCCAGGCTCAAAACTGGAAGTCTCTGTCACCTGTTTCTTCCAAATGGCGGGTGGAGAGCTGGTGTATCTTGGCTCTCACAACAGGAACTGGTTTGGAGAAAGAAAGGTCCTGTGATGCTTTTACAACATCTTTCTCAGAACACAGAGTACATAATCACTCCCTCACCCAGCCATAGCTACCTGGTTCTGTTTTAACTTGGAGCACCTCACTTTGCTATGAGGAGCCCATTTTGTCTGTCAGCTAGGGGCATACTTTAACAATTGCATGTTAAAAAATATGTTCCTCCCTAAAATGAATATTACTTGGTTGTCATCTATTATTTAACATACAGTTGGATTTTATGGCTGCAGAAAAATATTTGACAACTTCTTAATTTTCTTGTATGCTTATTCAGTTACTTAGGTTTTCTAACTCTTCTTTGTGGTAGTGAATGTATTTCTATAAAACCATCTAGTTCATATGAATTTTCAAATTTTTGACATAGAGCTCCAATAATATAGTTCCATAATATTTTTAATTTCCTATCCCTGTGGCTGTGTGCCCTTTGTGATTTCTAATGCTTTTCCTTCTTGGTCAGATGCACCAGTGATTTTTTTCTATCTTGTTAATCCTTTCAAGGAACTAGCTCCTGGTTTTGCTTATTAATTTTTTTGTTTTTGTCTTTTGTTTGTTTTCCACTGTTACTTCCCTTTATTTTGTTATGTTCTAGAGTTTTAAAATGCATAATTAGAAAGCATTCCATCATTTTATTAATAATAATAGTAACTCACAAATCTATAAATTTTCTTCTGCATTCATTTTGGTCATAATCAATAGGTTTTGATAAGAAATGTTTTCATATTTTATTGTGTCTTCCATTCTTTTTAGTTCTGTAATTAGCATACAGACTTCTATTTTGACTGAGAACATTTTAGAAAAAATAATTTGTTTAATATTGCACCACTGGATAGATTTTTGAAATATTTTTTACAAATAATAACACAATACAGGTCAGAATACAATGAAACTGCTACTCTCAGACATTGCTGGTACTATTTTAAGTTGCTATGTATCATTTAGAAATTATTTTGAAAAGCATAGAAAATATTTAGCATATTTTTAAGTGAAAAAAATACAGTATACCAAATCATATATACTTTAATAACTTGTAATAATGCAATAAATAAATGAGTGCATGGGAGAAAAGGTCAGAAGAAGAGCTAGCCACATTGTGTGTTTCTTCTATAGCATGATTTTATAAATCATCTTTCATGATTATGTTTTACAACTCTTTTATAACATGCTTATGTAAAAAGTAATGTTTTCCATTTACTGAATGATTGCTATATGCTCAGAGTCTAATATATGATATCCTTTATCTTTACATATAACACTATCCAGTTCTGCAACTTCACCATTTTAAAGTCAAATTGAGAAATTAGCCAAAGGTCATACAACATGAAATTATCAAATTAGTGTATCTCAGCTCCAAAGCCCTTGCTCTTTCTTCTTTACCAGGGATGCTTAATCTAGGATTTGTGAGTTTGCTTGAGAAAGTGATTGTGTCTCAAACTTAAATGTAGCATTTCCTTCCATTCTGAATGTAGGTAATAAGTCACAGAAGTATTAGTAGGTGTGACTTTGCAAACAATATGATTAATAGATATTCTCATGTGGTATTACTCTT